AGATGGATTCGTATATATTTTCAGTGGAAAAAGTAATCCCTTTCAGTGTGTTTTCATTAAACAAGCAGTTATGATTTGACTTAATCTTTATCTCTTTTTTTAATGTATCTATTATTTAAAGCCATAAATAATCTACGAAGTACAAGTCTATTTTTTCCAAAACATAATTTCCGCTAACTAGAACTTTGATTCATAAAAGAATAGCCGATTTTTGAATATAAAGTAATCAAAAAGAGGGGATAAACCGTGTATAGAACGAACGTTTCCTAAGACATCATCGAGTTAACTAAGAAATAACTAAATAAACAAATTATTTCACTTGTTCTATGGTCTATGAGCCCGGGCAGTATAGATGGGTGAGCTGTTTGATTATTCTACAAACGTTAAATTATCCCTTTTTAATGACTGTTCTTGCACGAATTCTCCTCAGCTAATTGACAGAGTCATTAGAAAGGTCTAATTTACAGTTTTTAAAGTAATTAAACAGATTACATCTGCGCGATTTTGTCTAAAAAGACGATTAAAATCTTTTACAGGTAAACTACCACGTTCAAAAAATGTAACAGAAGATCCTAATACTGTAAAATGACGGAGCTGATCTGATAAATGCACATAACATTTACAACAATTTCGTCACATGTACTTGTCAAGGTATTTCATGTCAAAATAAATAAAAGTCATCTAACGAAGTCCAAATAAACTAAGTGATACTTGTAAATAAAGGAGAGACAATTATTGTAGTATAGAAGGAGTAGGAATTTTTTGAACTAATATAGGTAGTAAACTAATTGAAAGATTGCAAGGGCGAATTCAGAACAACGATGGAATTTTCCAATGCGCAAGAAAGAGAGATTGAATTTGCAAATACTCAAGGCTTCTGTAGACCTGAGTTCGCCCTTAATAATTTGTGTACCACCTGTGAAAAGCTGTAATATTGTTTTCTTTATGTCCATTCCCAATAATATGTTCCAAACTCCTTATGTTTTTAGGAACATTTGATATTGATCGTTTCTGTAATAATCTAAGCACACATTTCGTAACCTTTATTTGAATTATTCGACTACTTCTCCTCATGTATATATGTTTTCACAGGTATGTTATTTGGCAATATACAGTGTTGCTGTGATATAATTGTCTCTGCACTTTCTAGGTAGGTCAGTAGATAAAATTCATACTGTCTGCTTAAACTAGAATGGATCGCAGTAAGACAGATTTCAGATTAAAGAATACAACAGTATAAAACAATGAGTTGTGAGCTGTGTGTAGAGCTCGAATAATAGAAGAGAAGTTGAGGCTAGAACCAGAGGGTTTGTTCATCAAAGTCAGAGGAGAAGTAAGAAGAGAAATTTTGTGAAAAACAATATTAACTATGTCGTTCACTGTCTGCCATCTTATTTGCATCGAGAAATCGCAGAATCATTGATTAGTAGCGTCGTTCTCAATTAAAAAGCGTTTGAAACACACAAAATCGTTTTACTCCACTAACGTGAGTGAACTAAAGTTATTGCTCTCACCATCGATGTTTTCTGGCCAGTGACTCAACCTTTTCACTTTTTATGATGTTAAGCCAATTTAGAAAAGGTGGATCTAATGCAGATGTGAGGGGGCTGATCGGCAAAGCAAGGGCTGCATTTCTAGAATTGAACAACATTTGGAACTCAAAACAACTATCAATCGATCGTGGGTAATCCAACAGCGTTTCAATCATTATTCTCTAGTACTTATCTCTTCAAATACCACTTGACGCTCGCGTGATAATTCCGACCTATATATCTTATACACTAGGCCCATGGCTTCCGTGAGAATGATCACTACTTTTTGAAATGATATGAATGGTCTAATCGAATGTTGATAGCACGATAGAAAGCTCTCGCTTCACAAGCTCAAGTGTTTAGTAAGAATGGGTCATCATTGCCTGCATGCAAGTATATAGGTGTATAGACGAAAAAGAATTGAATAAATTAGTTAAAGAAATAATGTGTTACACTGCTTTTAATCCAAGGGGAAATGTTAAATTTCTTTTGAAAGATTCCCGAAAATTTGTTTTGACCGCCTCAGTCAGTAGTTAACTTGAAGTCTTAACTTTTTATAAGGACTAAAGTTTGTGCCGACAACTCTGTTATTTTTTCCTCTGATCTACGGGAAATGCGCCTGATTTCTTCGTTTAATTAAACTTCTGTAAGCATTCTGGAGAAAAATCAGGTGTTCTAGCTTTTGTAAGCCCTCGATTGTCTCATTATTAATTGGAATATATAGTTCCTTGTAAGTCTTACTTTGAATAGAAAATATTTCTGTCAGTAGTGTTACCTTAACTTCACCTGGAGAATTTCTAGGGTTACTTCCACACCTAAATCTAGATAAAGAAAGAAGGTGGAGCATGCACCCATGAACCCTATTATGTAGAAATTAAACTTCCAATGAAATCGTTAGCCAGAAACAATCACTTAGACAATTTAAAATTTGCCGCGGGAGTCAAAGGGTATTCTTTAGAAAGGTTACCACGATTCATGATGAAAGCCAAGTTTTTTTGGAAGTCACGAGGCTAATGTCCTTTTCCACAACTAGAGGAATAATTAATCTACGGGACGTTCGTACAGTGTGGGATAACCATACAGGTTGTTGTGGAACTAAAAAGATATAAGGTTGACCGACAGCTGTCGTGTACCATAAGTAGCAATGACAGAGCCATTCGCACAGCGTAGTCGGAACATCGTAGGCTTAGACTTACTGCTACCTAGTGGTACGAAAGAAACTTTGGCACATGTGTCAACGAGGTGCCTAGCGTTGGTGCGGATATCGTGCACGTAAAATAGGCCGCCAACATGAAGAGAGGGGCTTGAAAGTTTCCCGCGGGGTGCTCGACAACGACGGGCGCCAGGCCTGAAAGTCTGGTGGAGCCGGCATCAGCCGGTACTCGCTTCCGTAGCCGCCTTTTGGTGTGGGTTGGAAGATGCCTGCTGGGGGCGAGTACTTGAAGCCTTTTTTGATCGCGAGCGGGCTCGTGGGACGTGGGGTTCCGGAACAGTGGAACGATCTCGAAAACTGAGATGGCTGTGCATACAGTTACCCCTATCGCTTTGAGCCTTAACATGATTAGCATCGAGATCCACGTTGGTATGTGACGTGGACGCAACCGCATAGTTTTCTCGATTGCTAGTCCGCGCTATGACTCTGTCTACAACGAGAGCAACCCAGCTAAGTGGCATGTCCTCGGGTAGAGCGGCGACCGTCGGTTGAACATAGGCCGGTAGTGCCTCTGGCCACAATTCTCTGACATCGTCAGAGTCGGATGCCGTTGGTCTCGTCATTGACTGCAGGCGCGTGAGGTGGTGGCTAGGTTTAACATCACCCAGGGGATGACGTGCTACAAACGTCCTCAATCGTTCCACCCTCGATGGGACAAAATGACGAAGAATCGTCTACTTGAGACGATCGTAGACGTCTGGCACACCAAAATTGAAGATAACCTCACGAACGGCGGCTATGTGATCCCTAGGTAGAGATTCCAGGGCATAGACTTACATCTGCTGCTAGTTCCTTATGCAGCGGATCTCAAATCGAGCTTCCAAAGGCCTCGCGCCAAACATCCGGATCGTGGGGGGATAAACGATACAGGTTGAAAAATAAGAACCTGTATCTGTGAGTCTCCTAAAATATCGTCCTTTTTAAGTTTGTCTATCATTTTCGAACGCTGCTGCAGTCGTAATATATATATATATATATATAACAAAATATATTACGCAACAGATAAAATAGTACGAAAATTGGGTAGAAAAAGTACAGACCCACCGAATTTACTGCGTATTCGAAGTTGTAGCTCATCAATATAGCACATCGTACAATAAATTACTTCGCGGGATAACAAATCTTAATCCCGTTATTTTAAGAATCAAATAAAAAGGCGATTCTAGAGGGAGAAGTATATTTAATACTAGCCTCGTGATATCGAAATAATATCAAGGCGAGAGGGCGTACAAACGGCTGACGTCCACACAGGAGACGTGTGAAGAGAATGGGAATAACACGCTTGGCATGCGAGAGATAGTCTTTGTACAGATAAACAAGAGGTGTATAATACAACAATTATTGTCAGGATTAAGTACAATAATAAATGTTTTATTCCAGAAATTGTGTTTTCTTCGTGAAAGTATACCGCTACAGTCCTTCAACACAACACAACATGCACTAACCGAATAGCACTTGACGGATAAACCTTAGGAGATAAAAAAACCCCATCTGAAGACACGCATTAGCTGGGCAAGGACAGCATTTTTACCCCGGAAATGCATCTGGAACTCAAAACATCTGTCAACAAATGTCAAAGACAATATTTTGGTCACATCTTGGCAGTTTTATTGTATGGAGCAGAAACTCGCAAAATCACGAAAGCCATCATCTGTAACATACAAATATTTATAAATACTTGTCTACGCAAGATACCTAAAAATAGTTGGCCGGACAGCCGCAGCAACAATCCACTGTGGTAAAGAACAAACCGAGTTGCAGCTGCGAAAGCCGTCATATAGAATCTCCAAGGCGAAAGGAAAAGAGAAAGATCAGAAAACGTCCTTAATTAGAAATAAGAAGCGAAAATTAAAAGAATCGACAGAGTCTGAGAACGATTTGACCGGATAGTCCAGAACAGAGTTGATTGCAGTTTGCCGGTCGACGGCGAACTTTCATCTACAGGTAAGAGCCATAAGTAAAAAATTGTCCTATTAATAGCGCTTTGGCCTATAGACTAGAGTCTGACTGATATTTTGTCAAGAAAAATTTTCTACCACCTACACTACATTAGTTTTATCGAAGTAATAGTAATTCAGCCAGTTCAAAGTCTGAGGCGTCTGTAATTTTAGTTGATCAGATAAAAATGTAATACTTTCGTAAGAAAACAACCAGAGCCTAATTCACAGTCTTTTCCCCATGTAGATCTTCAGACGCAATTATCACACTCAGTAAAATATACTCAATCTTCCAATAAATACTTAAAATCAATAAGATTTCGAGGTCGATTCTGGGCGTGTAATTGGCGGCTTTTCCGATTTTGACACCTGTGACGCATTCTCCGACTTATTCGACCAATTTCTAGTCGCGATTACCATTTTTTATTGATCACATGCTTGTGTTATTTCTTGTAGTTGTGGATCGCCTACTCCATTAAATGTGAGTGCGTGTATGTGCTTACTGAATTGTCAGCTCACCTGTTCTCTTGTGCTGCCCTCGTCTAAATAACTTCACACTCCCTCAGCACACAAGGTAACTTTCGGCTACACTCGCTCTTACCGAAGTCTGAAGTTGCGCACTGTCAACTATTAGTTTCGATTGTTAAGTTTTTTTGGTCCCATTTTTGAATTATTATTATTTATTGCAAGTAGGTTTTGTGTGCTCACTAAGTCTTCATTCACTCTTTCTTTCGTTCTTTTCTCTTCCAGATCATCTCCCATACTTTATTCTCTTATCTTCAGCATACGAAGTACCCTCAGACTAAACGTAAACCTACTAAAGCCCATACGTTTCACATAAATCTGAGTCATCTGTAAATTCCTGTTCCTATCGAGATGGTAATCTTTTCAAAATTTTCAGCTATCTATTTTTAGATGCAATTTTTGATATTATTTAGTCGACAAGGAAAGTTAAGACTCCAAAAGTGGTATGTTTCTTATACTGAAAAGGAAAAGAAAAAGATTCTACGCGATCTCACTACGATTGTGCTTTCGCGAAAGCCGAAGATGTGTTCGTTTATTGAATGGAAGGACTTAAAAGTTGTATATCGTCGGTACGTTCAACCTTGTTTTATAATTAACGTTTCTAGATATGCTAGTCTATACTTCTGTGCTGCAATCGAGCCCCATGATAATGAGCTGTTGACTTTGGAAATAATCCACAGATATGTGGAACTTCTAGATAAGTATTTTGGTAGCGTAAGTTGATCATCTAATAATTTTAGTTTTATTCTTTAGTATTTAATTACTACACCACTTCAGCAAGTAATTTTACCTAATGATAATAATCATATACTAACGTCATAAGTAAAGCTGATCTCGAAGAGACCCCGAACGACTCTAGTTCTGTACTTGTTGGAGCATCCACTAAGTATGTCATGTCCTCAGGATTGATTTCTTCGTATTGGTTGTAACTCACCAGGACAGTGCTAATACGGTTGCTTGTGCTTTGATGAGATTAATTGTAGAATAAATTTAAATTCTACTTCAATTTTTTTAAATAAAACCAACAACTTACTGCATGGCTTTCAGTTCTCCAGATATCAGCGTCGTATATAGGTGGTCTGATGGTTTGGACGTTTGTACCAGGTAAAATTTCACAGGTCCTAGACTTGCACCATTTAATCCGGTTTGGGAAACTAGGTATCAATACCTCATCAAAAATTGTGGCTCGAATTGTGGTTTCATGTCCGTATAAATGGGAGAATACAGCACTTGGGGTTACAACTTTAATGTGGTTCTTGACCACTCTAACGTTTCTATTTAGTGCTACATAATTAGATATCGTGTTAATCTTGTACATCTGACTGTAATCGACTTTCTTAAAACCTAACTACTCGTACCTTTTTCAAATTCATTGTGAAAATAGCTTCTACTGTTTTTACGGTTTATTACAAATGCAATAAACCAAGATCTTGCAATTTGACGCTGTCTTTGTTAAATCCAACAATTTATGTCTGACTTTTATATTTCGAATTAGGTCTGTGAATTGGACATCATATTTCATTTTGAAAAGGCTTATTATGTATTGGACGAATTTATGTTGGGAGGAGAAGTTCAGGAGACTGGTAAAGAAAGCGCCTTAAATGATATTGACATGCAAGATCTAATTCAAGAAGTAAGTCGAATTTTAATCATATATTTGCGTATTTTATCTCTTATCTCGTTTTATTACCTTCACTGTGAATTGATATTTATCTTAATGTTATTTAAAGGAAGAGGCACCTCAAGGATTTTTCGAAGAACAAGGTATTTTATTCTGTGTTTACTGCATTTGGATACGGGACAGTTGTCTGCATGTTAACGCACATTTTTTTGAAAGTCACGTCTGTGTATATTTAATTTAGAAGTTTCTATAGTTTCATTTTATCTTGTGTTCTTCATATCCTATTTAGTATCTGACAAAAGTCGTCAGGTGTGCTAATGTGATATGTTGTGGAGCACATTTTCAGGTCTTTCCCTAGTTCCCAAAGATATAAGAAATTAACGAAATAGACTTAAAAAGATAAAGATAAAGTGATGAAGACTTAAAAAGTTTAGGATTTGAGAGTAAACAAAGAATGAATGCACCTGCGCCATTGCAAACGGTTTTGAGCCACGTTATTCAGGGTCTCTAACCATCGATTATTATCATCTCGCGGACCCCAACCAGGTAGTCGACACCTACCGGCATCACTCAGTCAATTTGTTAGGGAGTTCGTGCATATCTGCCATGTTTCGGTCTGGCCGCCCCTAGCTTTCGTTCAGCCTATTCCTACACCGCAAAATATAGCTCGACGAGGCAGTCGGTGGTTAGGCGTGCGCAGCACATGTTCCAACCGCCTCTGAGGGCGAAGTCGTACTGCTGACTGCAGAGGGGTGTGACAGCAGTAAGGTGTTTCCCTCGGACAACCAGCATCTGCAGCGATGCCGCCTTCTCACAAGGAAGGAAGGGTTGGAAAAGGTCGACCATAAAATGTCACACCTCTCCCTACCTCACGGATTTCCGTCTCCGGCGGTAAGGGTGCCCAGTAAGGGCTTTTAAGAGCGGAGCTAATACTCCAAAATCCTTTAATAAAAAGGCCGTGCGTGACCGGCCTCAAGCAGTTGTCCCTTGGGCTCTGCGGTCACGCTTTTAGGTCTCTAAGACCGACACTAATCTACCTTCTTTCTTGGGTTCCTCAAGAAACAAGCTTTCACGGTGTGGGCAGCCGGGAAGTGATAACCGTCCTCATACCCGTAATAGCAGGAATAACCAAATTGGTCAAAATCAAATCCTTCCTACACCCCCGAATACCTCTCTTATATCCACGATCTAATGCAAACGATGCGACTTCACGAAAAGTTATTCCTGGTCTCTTGAAACCGGATTCTGGACTACATGTTGGAGCATTTAATGTACGGACATTGTGTCAAATAAGGCAACAGGTTTCCTTAACTAGGACATTAGAATCTCGCTCAATCAGTGTATGCTGCGTCTCTGAAACGTGCATACATGATCCTAGTAAAATTAATAATTTGATTTCACCTTATCAAAATAAAGAAGCAGCTCGATTTACTCTTCGTGTATCCGGTAGCCCTGATTCTGCTTCTAGGGTTCTCGCTGGTGTAGGTATAGCATTGAGTCGTAGGGCAGAATTAGCTCTCCTAGACTGGTTACCTGTAGATAGTCGCTTATGCGCTGTCCGACTGAACGGGACAGTAAGAACTCGGAAAGATAGGGACACCCACCGTTGCCTCTTCGTCATATCTGCCTATGCCCCCACTGACTGCAGTTCAGACGAGGTGAAAGATGAGTTTTACAGAAAGCTTTCGGACCTCCAAAAAGCCAGGTGCTCTGATGTAGTAATGATGGCTGTTGACTATTGCTCAAGTAGGGTAGACTAAGTGAGAAGGAAAGACTTTTGGGTGTCGTGGCTCAAAGATCAGATACTGGCGATCATCTACTATAGCTATGCTCAGATAATCGCCTATTTCTAGCAAAAACTAACTTTAAGCATAAGGAAAAACATATCTTGACCTGGCGATCCCGAAAGCCGACCCAACTAGATCACATCGCTACCAGCCACTTATGGAGAGGCTCGAAAGAAGACTGCCGCTCGTTCTAGAGCACATGTTTAGGTACAGATCATGCTCTAGTATGAGCGCGTATTTGTCTGCGTCTTGATGGACACAGGAAAGAATCAGCAAGCAAGCCCTTTAGAGTTCTAATTAACGATAGCAAAGGCAAGAGTGTTTAAACCATCATCACTATACATGCATGCAGTTTGTCCTATATTCTCAGCCATTACCTACCTTGACGTTCTATCCTGCCTAACATATGAGTAGTTCGGAGAAGAAAAGAGATAATCAAACCATTACATTACGTCAGTCTATTTGGACAATGACTGTAAATCAGGGTCGCAAAAATTTACTTAGTCTCAGTGCTCAGGAATTAACAACTGTAGTTGTTGTTGTTGTTGTCACAGTTGGTACAAGTAATTCAAATTCTTTCTCATTCTTACATCCGTTTAACTCTCCAATAGCATATTTTTCCATGGTATTATTGATTTCAATCCTTTTATATTATTTTCACTACGACAAAGTTGCAGCAATATCACTCTGTATATGTTTGCATGTGTTCACTTATCTGACTATTTGAAGTTACCAGTGTTTATGTTAGCTTGTAACAAACAACTTTTTTTTCTGTTCCGTCTACTCATGAAAAATATTGATGTTTTATTCACAAGCGTCTATTCTGTTTCGTTAAATTAACATATATGTTTAATATTCTCACTAGTATTGATAATTTCATATTTTATGGGTTTCCTTGTTCTGTTGTTTGCATGACATGGATCTATTTCGAAGAATTATTATGTAGTTGAAAGACATATAATAGATGATGTTAATGTCAGATTTTTATCTTCCCATAAATTATAAGTCTTTTGGTTTACTTCTTCCCTTTAAAATGGTCAATAGAATTCTAGATAATAATCACTTCATGATTAAGTATATTTCAAAAGGTGTAATTATGCACTATCAGTGTATTTTTTTGTAAGATTTTATATTTCTATTTAGTTTTTACTTTTATACGTGCCTCTACCACAAATTTCGCAGCACGTACATACACGTAGATATACGGCTGTTTCATTGTGCATTTAAACTTCCGTCTATGTTGTAATTTTGTCTTTGTCTGTCTATGTAAATGGTGTTGGATATATTTTTTTTGTTGAGTTTTTTTCTCAATGTTTACTCTCTGTAAATGTTGTGCACACCCATTCGTCTTATTATATTACATAATCCTGATCAATAGATTGTCGATTAGTTAGTGAAAACTGAGGAGTAATGTCATTTTGATTTCTGCTGCTTATTTAAGTAGTACATTTCTATTTTTTCAGTGGTAGTACTCGGCTGCTCTTATATATATATTAAGGCGAGGTTCATGACTGAATCTAATTATTGAAAGTCAAATATTTCAAACATTTCGCTTTTCACTATTTAAGGAATTAATTCAATTTTATATAATCTTCACATGTGCTACGAATAGCTTGGCATTAAAATGCTAGATTGGTGATTTAAAACTCAGGTAACATTGATTTTGGCAAAATCGAATTGCTAATACCATCCTTATGTAAGATAGGATTACACATAAAATACAAGTTCACAATTTCAACCTACTTATATTTGATCAAAATGAATTTTCAGTCAACTTTGTTTATTTCTTTCAAAATTACTTTCTTTCAACCATTAGGAGGAGTGTAAAACCAAAGAGGAACAAGCAGATATAAGTGTGGTCGATGTTTCTGGATTTTGAAATTAATTCCTTTTCTTTCAAAGATAACAAATAGTTTGTGTGTACATTTACTTTAAGATCTATGCATGTAATGTAATATTCACTTAAGTGAATTGTGCAAAGTACTCGGGAAATATTTATTCATTAAAATTTATTTTATTTTATCTCTGTTCATTCTGTTGTTGTGTTTTGATTAATTTTCAAATGCAAATTTTAACTACTCACAAATTTGTATACATTTAAATTTGTTCATTTCCTTTATTAAACTGTCAGTTAACTTCCTTTAAAATACTTTTTTTTTATCATAAGCCTTCCAGTTAGAAAAAGACAACAAATCCTACTGCTCAAACTAACTTTGCATATCATAGTTTTAAAAAAAATATATTATTATTATTATCATTATTATTATTATTACCTCATATCATGATTTAGTTCGTGTGATGGTTTTATATATTATTCAGCTAGCATGCCGAGTAAATTTAACTATTTATTTTTTATTACTTGTTCTCTTTTTGTAATGGTGAGAATTTTTATTTTTAAATTGCATTGTTTTTTTTGTGATATTTACTTCAATAAAAACGGATTTTTTTTTCGTCCATTATTCTATATACATTTTATGTAACATTTGTATTCAGCGTTATTGTTTCAACTTCCTTCTGTTTAAAGTCTGTGTTCATAATTACTATATATTTGGTAGTAATGATTACTGACCAGATTGATATTCGAGTTAACATTGTTAAATTTTCTTTTTTAATGTTTATTTTGTGTGATAAAACGTATTGAAACAATCGTATGTACGTATACTGGCCTGGCTAACAATCTCGTCTGTGAATTCGCACACACTTTGTTGACTTCAAAATAAGCTGGTTGTTTTACAAATCTTCAAACCCAGTAATAAAGTAGCAAAATCAGCTTGATTCTAAGCCTTTATTCAAGATAAATGGTTTATGTTAAACATTTCGTAACTGAAAAAACATGGACTAGCTTTTGCAATGATGCAAAATGGATTAGCCAATGCCACTGAAGAGAAATTAATGTTAACACAGTCTTAGGTGTTACTATTGTGTGATGATAAATTTAAGACCCATTACTTTGCTTCTAAACTTTTGAGAGGAATACCCATGTTGTTCACTACTTGTTTGTTAGAGATATTTAAGAATAACAACTTTTGTTCCTTTGATTTGTAAGTGTGAAAACTGGGGTTGGTGCATAGTGCTTATCTTGTGTTGATTATCACTGATCGATATAGTTGTATGACGAAACACTAGTAATAAAGTTTTCCAGCTAGTATCATTGATTTTGTTACTGTTTTGTTAAAACAACTTTGTTGTACCGGATCAGTAAGCAGTTACATTACCAAGTGATATCCTAAACACACTTCTACTCTAAATTGCTATCCAGCCATTTTTGTGCTCACTATCATTAGGTTCAGTTCATATTAATAAAGATTAGATAACTAAGTAAATTTAAGTCAATAAGCAAGAACAGCATATACTTGTTTGTGCTTAAGTTGATTAAATGTAACCAAAACTATGAAGAAAAATTTGTAAACTTTTAATCTTACGTGATTTATAGCCTGTTTGGAAGTCAGATATATCGTCACTTTTTATAACTGATCCTTCCTTCTAGCAATCTCAACTTTTCTGACTAATTTGTCTATTACATTAGGTCAATTTATATTCGTAATACGATATGTGTAGGATTTGTCAGCGAATCAAATAGCCTTAATTTGCATTACCAGAAGCAGAAAGGGTGAAAAGTCGTTATTATGAACACAGAAATTTCTCTGATGACTATCGCTATAAGTGTACATCAGAATAGCAGTTTTTGTAAGACGATATTACCTGGAAAATCCTGTGTGATCTCGGGTTTTTTACTCGTTTGTAACCTCTTTCCCAGTCTCCTTTCATATTTTTGCTAGCTTACTATTGGATCTTGATCAAATGGTTGAATTATTGCAATTACAACCATTACTATTAAATTTCTAGTGGTGTAAAATTCGATGTGAAGTCTGCCATTGGGTCAATCAAGACTTAGAAATCAGTCCGTCAAAATGAATGCTATCCTTCGTATAAGCTGCTACTGAATTACAGCATTTCATTTTAAGCGGTATTTTGCTCTCAGTTTTTTCATATAACAGATATCTGATTTCTAGTCTTGTGTTACCGACCTTTGATTTGCATTGGTTCTAGGCTGTTTATGGTGGGTTCTGAATCTGTCTCATCAGGTAATTGTCGGAGATGTGCTGGGAATAGTCACTCCTCCGGTGTCCCTCAGCATGGAAAACCAACTGGATTAGTAAGTGACTTAGCGATCTAGGAACATGATCTCTGAAAACACGCGTAAACTACTTAAGGGCAGTCACATGTAGTCTTCTTGCGAGTTCTTGATGTGTTGTGTCTATACTATAAAAGTCTTACTACCAACAATGAAAACCCGTGAAGTAATATTAGGTGTGCTATTTTCAGCATCGCTTTCACTAACTCCTTCCTTTCTTTGTAGGTAGTTAAATGCTAGTTGTCGAAGAGAAACACCACTGAGACTCAGCATAGTTAGCAGAGCGAATACTTTAAAACCTCTCTCATGACCGACCTCAAGCAGTTGTCCGTTGGGCTCTGCGGTCACGCCCTCAGGTCTCTAAGACCGACACTAATCTACCTTTCTTTTCAGGTTCTTTAAGAAAACCCTTCCACTGTGTGGGCAGCCGGGAAATGACAACCCCCCTCATACCCGTAACAACACACTAAACCAAATCAGTCACAACCAAATCCTTCTTACTCCCCTTAACATCTCTCTTATCTCCACGGCTGACTATTTATGCATTACTTTATCACACTGCACAGCTAATGCAAGCGATACGAGTTCACGAAACGTTATTTCTGGTCTCCTGAAACCTCGTTCTAAATTCCATGTTGGAGGATTTAATGTCCGAAACTTGTGTCAAGTAGGAGAAAAGGCTTCCTTATCTGGGACTTTAAAATTTCTCGTGCATACAGGATGCTAGTAAAATAATTAATTTAATTTCACATTGTCAAAATTAAGAAGCTCGATTTACTCTTCGTGTGTCCAGTAGCCCTCATGCTGCTTCCCGGGGTTCTCTCTGGTGTAGGTATAACATTGAGTTCTAGGGCAGAACTAGCTCTGTTAGACTGGATTCCAGTAGATAGTCACTTGTGCGCTGTCCGACTGAACGGGACAGTAAGGACTCGGAAAGATAGGGACACCCGCCGTTGCCTCTTCGTCATATCTGCATACGCCCCCAATGACTGCAGTTTTATAGAAAACTTTCGGACCTCGTTTAAAAATTTAAGCGTTCTGACATAGTAATATTGGCTAATGACATCAATGCTCAAGTATGTAGACTCAGCGAAAGGGAAGGACACTTGGGTGGATCTTATCGTGTCGCGGCTAATACAACAGATAATGGCAATCGTCTGCTGCAACTATGCTCGTTAACCGCCTATTTCTAGCAAACACTAGCTTTAGGCCTAAGGAAAAGCATCTTTTAACCTGGCGACCCCCAAAGTTGTCTCAACGTTAGACCCAACTAGATCACATTGCAATTAGCCACCGATGGAGGGGTTCGATTAAGGACTGTCGCTCGTTCTGGGGCACATGTTTAGATTCAGATAATGCCCAAGTGCGAGCGCGTATTTATTTAAGGCTTATTGGACATAGAAAAGACACCGCGAGGAAACCTCTTAGGGTTCTACTTAATGATAATAAACCTAAGAATATATTTCAGGGACAACTATAAAAACAGTGAGCAGCCGTGTAGTAAGTGACGCCCACCCTGAGGCAACTTGGAATATCATCCAAAAAGCTGTGGAAACAACAGTGGTATCTTCTACTAATATAAATCATAAGGTTAGGAAGAAACCGTGAATCTTAGTATTATCCACCGAACTGATAGGCGCTCGTAAATTCACCCCACCTGGCTCTGAACATGAAGAGCGAAGTCAGCTTAAGGGCAGGCTGATAAAAAGCCTACGCAGTAATGGCGAACAGTGGTGGGTAGCAGAGGCAAGAGCGATATTGGCACCAATAATACTCCGACGCCTTACGAAAGCTCGTGAAGAGCAGGCTAGAAAAATCAAGGCTAGTTTTCAACCTGGACGTCGCTGTATAGACCACATCTTCACACTATGTCAAGTCCTAAAACAAAGACACACGTTCAGACGCCCCACAGTAGTAGTATTTCTCGACCTTAAAGCGGCATTCGACTCTGTTGATCGCGAGATTCTGTGGCAGAGTCTGCCACTAAAAGGTGTACCAAAGAAGTACATTAACCTTATAAAGGCTTTCTACTCGAACACCACTGATCAAGTAAGAGCTTATGGAGAACTGTCATCGGAACTGGTTACTTCAAGTGGTGTAGAATCCTCCTGTCAACCGTACTAACAGATCTGAACGATAAAATTACAATAAAATTTTCAATATTTCTGTAGTGAAGGCGAACACAGGTGAGGGCAACCGAATTGTATTTAACGAAATTACAGAGTTACTCAGTAAAATAGGAAAACCATATCGTAACCGTTAATTTGCAAATCTTCAATCTATCATCAATCCATTGTCTGACATTTCACTATTCATGCGTTTCATACAAATTCCATTGTGTTCCCACTCTTACTTTCTTGATCTTCCCCCATCTTCTGCTGCCAGACATTACGTTTTCACTCACGTCATATACTACTTATAAGTAGCGCGCACCACATTTCTACCTATTCAATGCCCTGTATCAAATAGAAAGTTAATATATCCACGGTTGCAAACAACTTTATTTTTAAAACACAAAACGTGCTATCCTGTTAAGATATTCATCCAATATCCTATGAGAATTATTGGTCTATTCCTATTGGTTAATTCCTACTGGTCAACTTTATGGTCGTCCTGACTATCAATGTCACTTCAAATGTTGCTTCTTATTGGTCGTCTTAACTGTCAATGTCACAAACTTCGATGCTGTTTCCTATTCAACCAAAAAGTCTAAATACGCATTATGTGTAACGTTTTATGACCAG